ATATAGTTCCAAATATGTATAGAAAAACTCTGTGGAAAACAGGCTAATACTCTTTTAAATATTGTATTAACAGCCAGAAATATCTTAACATGATTGGCCTCCAATATATTTATCATCTTATTTATTATCAAATGTTATACTATCTATTCCATACTACAGAAGGCTTTCTGTTCCAAAGTGGAAAATTCATTATATTCTTAATGAAAAATTGTGTCCTCTCTATATTCTTATTTTTCTCTTTTGTAATCAGAATTGTGTGGGTACCAATAAGGCAGTTGTTTCTTTTTTTTCTCCCACTTCTTCCTTTTTTTAAACATTTTTTATTGATTTACAATCATTTTACAATGTTTTGTCAAATTCCAGTGTTCATCACAATTTTTCAGTCATACATGGACATATAAACACTCATTGTCACATTTTTTTCTCTGTGAGCTACCATAAGGGCAATTGTTTCTTAAAACAAGCTCTTACAAGTTAAGGAATGATCTATTTAACTACTCTTGATCTTTGCATTATCTCAGAGTTTAGAAACCATACCAGAGAAACAGCTATGAAATAAAAGTATACAATTTTGTGTTCTCCATTGAGAGACCCTGTTAGTTACAGGAAAAGGAATTAACCATTGTGTCATTTAGAAGTTTTTACAATCAAAAGTTTTATTCCTGGAGGAACTACAAGGCAATCAAATGAAATGCTAACAACAAATTAAATGCTTTATAGGTCAGTCATCCCATTAGGTCTCTTTAGGGAAGCTGTTCTCATATAAAGCAGGCCATAACCTACCTGCATAATGATTCTATCTTAACTGTGCCTTCTGCTCTTTTATGGCATGTTATTTATCCTGATGCATGGCTGATATAGAAGAGATGTAAAGGATGTAAAAGCTTCCATTTTATGGCAGATAAAATTTATGGAATCTAAGCACAGTAAACATATTAAATTAAACATATTAAATCTGACAGTGAGTCTTTAAAAACCATAGCTATGATTTGATATAAAATATATTAAAACTATGCCTTCACAGGCAAAGAAAAGGAGAGGGCTGAAGTAATAATATAGGTAATTTAAGTAATAATATAGGTAATTTGGACCAAAAAGATAAATAAAAACCTTTCTTATGGAAGAAATTAACATTTGGTTGTCTGATTTTTCAACACTGTTCGTCTACACAGCCCGAATGAAATTTGAATTGTTCAACCTATCAGTCCACTTTGCTTACATGCACAAAAACAAATGCAACATTTATAGATTTATCAAATATTTTGGTCGTGCAACTATAGCATATTCTCTGGTGAAAAGAAAATATGCATATTACTTTTACTTACATAATTGGTCTCTCCTGTTAAATTTATTCTGAAATGAGGTAAGAAATAACTGTTATAATAACTAGGTATATACCCTGTGCCCATCTGAACAGATTTCATTTATCTTTGTACCTCTTTTCTCATTTCCTAAATGATATGAGAAGTGTTGATCAGAAGACAGAATAATCAAAATGTACATCTGTTTTATTGGTTCCCACAAACTTTACGTATACCTCATAAAGAAAATTCTATTAATGCAGATACATTTTGCTTTGTATTTCAGGTTTTGCTCATTTTTTTAACTGAAGTGTAGTCAGTTACAATGTGTCAATTTCTGGTGTACAGCATAATGTCCCAGTCATGCATATATATACACATATATTCATTTTCATATTCTTTTTCATTAAAGGCTATTACAAAATATTGAATATAGTTCCCTGTGCTATACAGAAGGAATTTGGTTTTAGCTTTTACTAATTTAATAGAACTTTATAAAATTATGTTGTCCAATGTCATTTTTGCTATAACTTCCATTATTAGTTTTGCTAATGAGTCAGTGATTCTTTAAACCAGATAGACTTCAGCATAAATATTTCAAGATTTTTTTACCTGTGTAGATCTAACATGTACAACTTGAGGATTTTATATACAAATATTGTGAAATGATCAAGCTAATTAACATGTTTCTCACCTCACATAGTTATCTTTCTGTGTCTGTGGTGAGAATACTTAGAATCTAGCCTTTTGGCAAATTTCAATTATATAGCAGAGTATTATTATCTGTAGTCACCATGCTGTACATTAACTCTCCAGACTTATTCCTCTTCTATAACTGAAAACCCCTTAACCAAAATCTCCTCATCTATTTCTCCCCCCGGTCCCTGGTAATAATCATTCTGCTCTCTATGTCTACGAGTTTCACAGTTTTAGATTCCACTTATAAGTGCATATACACAGTATTTGTTTTTCTGTGACTTATTTCACTGTCTCTCAGGTCCATATACGTTGTTGTAAAAGCAGAATTTTCTTCCTTTTAAAGGCTGTATAGTAGTCCACTCCTATATGTATATACTACATATAGTAGTGTGCATGTATATACCACATTTTCTTTATTCATTCATCTGTCAGTGGACATTGAGCTTGTTCCCATACCTAATGTGAAAAGTGATACAATAAACATAAGAATACAGGTATCTCTTTGAGATATTGATTTCAATTCCTTCGGAAAAA